TGATTAATCTTTTAGATGAGTACACAATAACAATTGGACTATTTGGATCAGACGACTCACTTGACAAATCTACTTATATGACATATACCATTCTCAACAAAACTTGGGTAGTGAACTTCAAAGTGTTGGGATGATACCATTATCTTTTACAACCAAAAACTAAAATTGCAAACATTAACAATAAAAAAAAGCAAAAACATAAATTGTAAAATAATTGAGGGTCCATTCTTGTAATTAAATTGTAGTTGGATTTGACGATACCCACCCACCCATTAAAGGGAAATCCGCGTTTAGATATAACTTTCCCAATTAAGCTTCTATTTAATACCAAATAATTGTAACCAAACAAATCAATTTTTGTACTTTCTACTTCTTTATTTATATTAAATAATATGTCAATAGACCCAATAAATTTAAAATGTTATCTATGATCACGTTATTATTTTTATATATTTATAATTTTTTTAAAATAAAATTATTTACTAATTCTAGAATTTAAGTAAGTGCTGTTGATGTTAACATCTTTTAAATTTATTAAATAATATGTAAAATATCTATACTGTATTATAAAACATTTGATTAAAATTCTTAAAAACCATTTTTTATGCATGAAGTACTGTTTATTAATGGATATTACTTAAAATTTAATACTACGAGTAAATTGTACGTAAGTACAGCTTATTAAAGCTATATTTTTGAATTCGTGTAACTAATTGCGGATAAACATAATCAAATACATAATAAAATCTTATATTAAATATAAAAAATTAAAATATAATTAGGATAATTATTGAGTTTTAACATAATACTCAATTATCATCCTTATAAAAACTGTATTATTAAAACAAATATAAATTATTTTGTTATTAAATCTAAATTAAACTATAATAAGAAATTGAATTAAAGTTTTTACACGAAAAACGAAAACTTTTAAATAATTAATTTAATACTATTAAAGATATTTTTTTTTTCAAATTTATATTTCCTTCAAAAATAAAAATATTATCGTTTTCTAAGAACCACATAAAACCATATTATATTGTAATGAAAAATGAATAAAATGAAACATTAAAAATCAAAATACATCTCGTTGCATTGCACAAGTACCCTTATAGTAATATTATGATAAGAAATTCAACAATATGAATAAGAGTCACTTTTGCCTTTCGTTTTTCTGCATTTACATGATCTGCTTGATTTTTGTGAATTTACCATTCCTTCACCCACGTTCGTTTTTACGTATCTGCTTATAAAACCATGACTTAAATCATAACAGGTTTATACATGTGATGGTATAGTGGAGATATATGTTCGTATATAGAAGCGACCGAAGGTGATTGAACGTGTACGAATGCATACACGTCAAATCTTCTTTACTGCTCATACTATTAAGGTTTCACTTATTTATAAAAATGTCATCGTTTTTCAACATCCATACATTAAAAAACACAAAAATAAATCATCCGACTACAAAGATGGTGCCTGATTGGTTTGAGCTTAACTCTAAAGATTAAAAGTACTAGGAGGTCGTTCAAATCCAAGGAGAAATAAAAATCCACTTGTGGCCACGGATGTTCAAATGCGGTGACTCCGGACTATCTGCAAAGCAGATGGTCGTCCTGGGATTAATCGGCTCGCATAACGGGTTGAATATCTAAGTTAATCAAAAAATAAAAAAATAAAAAATAAATAAACCATCCAAAAACTAATAAAATGTTGTCTCAAATTTCACTAAACTCAATATTTTTCATATGTATAATTATTAAAATTGGGCTAGATGGGCCTTGCATAAGTAAACGGCCCAAGTGGTAATGGTTTTCAATTTCTCCTACTATTTTGAAAACCATATGTATTAAATTTTAAATTTGTTAATTTCCCATTAAAAGTGTTTACTTTTATATTTCTAAATTGACACCATTTTCAAATTTTTTTGGGGTAAAATGTATTATGGAATGAGATGGTACGATAGCAACTCCAATCATATGTTAAGATAATATTTTTATCGGTGTTTAAATTTTAAGTACCGGMTGATAAAGGGAACTTAATTTTTCAAGTTGAAAGGAGAGAAACGGTAAATATATTGGACTCATGTTCAAATGACATAATTGCCGTGTACTTGGAGATGAGACGACTTTTGGTGTCCATGACTGTAACAGCCGCGATGCGGGTGTGTCACTCGTCCCACATCGGTTGGGAAGGAGAACGAAGCACTCCTTATAAGGGTGTGGATACCTTCTCTAGTAAGACGCGTTTTGGGTGGATACGAACTTCGGTTCACGTCCACGCCAGGACAAAACCGTGCGACTACCGCTTTGTGGATTTGCGGGCGGGTTAGTCAAAGCGGACAATATCTTGCTACGGGGTTCTGGGGGCGTTACAATGACCCCACCGATTTGCAGTTTTTTTGGTGATAGGGTTGGAGTTGCTCTGATACAATATCGTGAAACAGTGAAAACTTGTTCCAAATATTTCAAAATGATATAAAATCATACAAAGTAAGTACAAAATAAGACATGATTAGTTACAATGTTGTATTATATAAAATGTAAATAATGTATAAAAGTTACATGATGATATGTAATTGTATGATATGAAATTTGTGTTAGATGGTCGCGTTTTGGAGTTTGAACTTTGAATGTGGTATAATATAAGTAGTTAAGATTTTATTCTAGAAACAACAAAAGGTAAGGGTTTATTTGTGTTGATGAAGGACCCAAAATGTTACGAGTAAGAATAAAAATAAAAGAAATTGTTTGGCTTTATATAAGATAATGGTAACTTTCAGGTCAAACCGTAAGAAATGAAATTCATTCCCATACACATTCCCTGTAATTTTCATTTTCATTTTCATTGCCTAATCTGAAATAAACAACCCCTTAATATTTTAGTCTTTAAAATAGAGATCTGTTGGAGATAAATTGTAACTTTTTTTTAAATATATTTTGGGTTTTAGCTCTTCATTGTGAAGAAAATTTAGTAATTGAGAAAATGTTAATTTAAGTTAGTGTTCGTTACTTATATTTTGTTTATTAGTAATTGTTWGGATTTATTAATTAAAAATATTAATTTAAGCTAGGGTTTGTTGAAATCAATTTGTTTATTATTARTTATTAACAATTAGGTTTGATAATTGAAAAATGGTTAATTTAACTTAAGATCTGTTGAAAATCGAATGCAAATGTAATTAAGAAGATAAATGGGCTGTTAAGTCTGTATGGCTTATTCAGTCAGCCGATGGCTTAATTGGTCAGTTAGGAAAGTAGGGTTTTATAGACTCAACCATTTATTCATCCCCTTATTCCAAATTTGTCTCTTTCACATTTCTAGAACCCCAAAAATCCCAGCTTCTTTCGATCTCATTTCTCTCCTTCATTCCATCGATATATCGTTTCTTCTTCCTCACCATCTAGAACAATCGCCGTCTGCTGCTTCTTCTCACCATCGCCGATCGTTGCCCTCTGCCTCACCATCATCGGCCATCCCTGCCCTCTGCCGCAGACACCGACGACCCATCTCCATTTCTTCCTTTGTGTTGCATCTCTCGTTTTAGGGTTTGGCTCCCACTTTTGTTTCCTTCCTATTTGCATTTCATTAAGCCAGAGCGAATGAAAAGAAAGCAAATTGTGATAGTTTAACAACCAAGTCCAGAGCCCTATATCTATACACCGTTTTCCATTTGAATTTTGGGTTTTAGATGTTATTATTTTCTCTATCTTGTTACTGATTAATTATAATAGATTTGGTTATGTTTTCCAATTCGGGGTTTCACTATTGATTTGTTTATAGTTTTATGATTTGATCTATAAATATTGTTGTTTTGAGAAATGTGATCTATATAATGTTCAATGTAAAACCAAGGGTAAAATAGTCGTTTTCATCATTCAGACGGTTTATCCAGCACAACAACCGAACAACAACTTATCTGTTAACATATAGACAACTTTATCGATACAGATCTAAACAGAAAATAAACCGAAAAACACAGAAAACTTGTAATGATTCCTTTATCTATTTTAACAACTTCGTACATTTATGTAACTTTGATTTTATAATATCATGTCACTTTAAGTGTGTTCCTCGACCTTAGTCGTTGGAGATTGGATCTACCATGGTAATTGATTGGTCGTTCACATTTCCTAAAAGATGATGTCTCTTAATTTGATTGGTGATTACGAATGGTCAAATTTTAGAATAAAATGATTTTATTTCCAACTGGATTTAGTATCAGCAATAATGGTTCAGGTTCGAATTCACGAACTTTTATCAACTCCCGATGACTACAATAGGGCTAGATACCGTGTGGTTATGCTCATCGATCCATTTCAGATACCCGTAGGTAACATTTGGAGATCGTTTGTCCATTTGTATACTCATTACAAAGTCTTCCGATTGATATTTGCTCGTGAATCTGATTGTCTTTGGCTCGACTCTAACCGTCATCCTGGCCGGAACTTCCACGACGGCCTGATAAGTGGACCTAGGATCTCCAACATTCGTTACGGTCCTGATGAAATGCTTTTCTAATGGAGATGTGGTTTGGTTTGAGAAATCGGCAATAAACGAAGGATAGTTAAGTTCAGTATGGTTCGTGCTGCAACTCCAACGACTTCTTCTTATTACAGCACTCATCTGTTGATCGGTATATCCAAGACCACATAAGAAATCGATATAATCTTGAAAACCCATGTCGTAGATGAGTCCAGGATCCATGGCTTTGTTCGGATAGATATGGCCAGCCCCGAAATCTAGAGGTGTGGCAGGTTGATTATACCATTGGTCTTCAATGATTCCATTTCTATTGTCTGTGTTGGTTGCAGTGGTCATCAGAGCTGATCGGATCGCTGCTGGAGTCCAGTCACCATGAATGGATTTTAAGAGGGCTGCAACTCCGGCTACATGTGGTGCCGCCATTGATGTACCGGAGTAGAGTGCGTAATCTGTGACTAAATCGTATTTTCCGACCACCATAAACGGCAAGTCTGGTCTTACGGCTCCCAGAACATCGACTCCAGGAGCAAGGATATCGGGTTTTAGAACACTCGGAGTGATCGGATCAGGTCCTCTTGACGAGAAATACGCCACCTCAGGTGCAGGTCCGGTTCCAGTTTCCGTTAACACAAATTTCATTTTCTTTACAATAGATGTGTTCCCTTTCATCGCGTATTCCTTTATTGCAGCCGCGTAACTGGTATGCAATAAGATTCCGGGGCTCGTGTAGTCTTCTGGATCCAAAAACAACGATTCCGTCAAGAAAATCGCAGCGTATGCACCAGCCCTCGTTACTACATCCATCTGCGAGTTAAGATCCGGGTTGCTATCGTCACATAAGACAATCTTTCCTGCGACTTCAAGTGGATTTAGAGCTGAACATCCGGCTTTTCTTGGATCGTTATTCCCATAGTATAGGTGTGTATTAGTAATAGAAACGCTCATTGGGAAGTATGAGGTGCCTACGAAGGTTAGCCCGTTTCCTAATTCTAACGTAGCCATGTAACTTCGGTCTATCGTGCCAGCACCTACGGTCATGATCCAAGGTGCACCATTATATATCGAACTTGACCCTGGTCCATCGTTTCCAGCAGCACAAACTACAACAATTCCCTTTTCTATGGCCGAAAGTGAGGCGATAGCGATTACATCCTCAAAAAAGGGTGTGTGATCTAAGCCCAAAGATATTGACATTATATCGACCCCATCGGAAATCGCTTGATCCATGCCGGCTAGAATATCGGTAGACGCAGATGAAAACGAGTCGGATGCCCAAAGGACTTTGTACATGGCGATATGTGCTCTTGGTGCCATGCCTCTTGCTACGCCTTGTGCGTAACCAAAGTGATTAGCACCAACGACATGATTACCAGCAGCGGTGGATGATGTGTGGCTGCCGTGACCGAGGAAGTCTCTAGGCGAGTCAAAGTCGAACTCGGTGGAGATATTGAGACCAGCAGCCTCGAGTCCTTTGCTAAAAGATGTCGCTCCAATCAGTTTGTTGTTGCAGATAGAAGGACTAAAAGCTGTGCCATTCTCGCACTTCCCTTTCCATCTCGACGGTACTTTAGCCATCCCCTTGTCGCTAAAACTCTCACTTTCCGGCCAAATTCCAGTATCAATCATCCCGATGATCACATCTTCCCCATAAGATGCCGTTGGCCATATGCCGGAATTCCGCTTCAGTCCCAGGAACTTTGGCGTATGAGTTGTGAACAGCTTGCCGAAGGACTCTTTGTACGTGGCAAGATGAGCTCGAGATTTCTCCAATTGCGATAGTTGGCAAGGGGTGAGCTTCGCACTAAAGCCTTGCATGACATGAGTATAAGAGTACAGAAATGTTCCTCTATGATTATCTTCATCTTCATCGCAAACCGAGGAAAGGGACTTTAGGGTTTGGTGGTGCCATGATTCATGGTCCGAGAAGTGTGGAGGTTTCTGCGAGTGATCCATGTGGATGATATATGTCTGGGAGTTTTTGGGTTGAGTTGATGCAATGCTGAGCCATGGTTGCAGCACCAATAGCTGCATCAACAACACCGAAGAGTAAAAGAAGCTTCCCATGGCCAAGTAAACGTATTTTGTAGTGGTGATGGTTAAGAAAGTGAGTATAAGATATATATAAGCCAATTAAGGTCTGTAGTGATCAAAGTCATCTGTTTGGAAGTAGTTAGTTAGTTTGATGAAGTCTTCGCTTGGACGTAAATTTCTAGGTCCATGGAATAGAATGTTAGATGAAACAGCGATGAAACCTAAATCTAGTGTTTACGATTATGGGATGCACGTGTCATGAGATAAAACCTTTTTGTTTGATGTAATGAGCAACATATACATATACATATACATATATATTATATGTATATATAGATTATTGTCTTGATCATGCATCCATGACTAATATGCACATCGATTTCATCATCACCAAAGGTTTGCCTAGCTAGATGGAAGCTGGCTTAGGTGATATATGTTTCTTATATTGGTCGTACTAGGTGATATATATATATATATATATATATATATTTCAAATACAATCAGAGCTATTTGTATAACCAATGCAACCCAAATAATTGAGATATTTATGTAAATGATTTGAGTTCATTTATTATGATT